AGTGTGAGTGAAAGCCTCGCGACTGTAGTGTGAGTGAAAGCCTCGCGACAAGAAGGTGGAGCAGCCAGATACACGATGCCTGGACCGACACGGATTGTCGTACCGTCTTGGGCTGCTACATTCAGTCTTGTAGAAGACAGAAATGATCTTCAGTTGTGTTCAAGCTATTTAATTTTTTTTCATTTATTTATTTAGTACATGCAGCTTGGATTTATGGTGATCGTCCCATCTGAGCTTCTCCAGCACTGGGATTACCGGCGTGCACCACCACACCCACTTCTGGCAGCCAGCTTGGTGTGGGGCAGGCACAGCATGCGGTGCTGGGAATCGAACCCGGATCTTTGTGCTTGCCAGGAAGGAGCTTAGACCACTGAGCAGCTATATCTCCCAGCTTTCAAGTTACTTTTATTTGGGCTTCTGCCACACACAGCCGAATGGCTTATGTTATTCCCATGACAGGAAGTCTCTAAGTCCATAAATGTTCTTCCTAAAGTTACTTGGTCAGTATCTCCTGTATTACAAGTTATAGCAACTGTAGCATCTTTCTATGTTCATTTGAAAGAGCACAATGGCTGAGTTGGATGTGAGCTCAGCGGCACTCACACTGATTACTCGCAGCATCTCACTGTTGTAGCGATAGGCGCATTTGTTCCCACGAACGATTAGGGTTTCAACACGTAAGTGCCATGAGGACATGGCCTCAGAAGATGCTACTCAGATAGCAGCAGTAAGCTCAGTTGAGACGCTGGGTTTTTCTGGTACAAATGAACAAATGAATAAAAAAGATAGAAAAGGAAGGCAAGGCTTACTCACCTTCTTGAAACACAGCGAAGACTGTTGTCAGGAGCAGTGCAAAGGCGTGCGTGCTGCCTAGGAAGAGGTGGCTGCGCCTGAGTTCACAGGAGAGAAGCAAGCCTCTGTCCGCGTGGCTTGGAGGGAGTCCAGCGGGGCCTCGGAATTAGGGGAGCCTTGCTTAGCTCCTTTTCCTTTGGTTCTGTGTTAACTAAGTAATGTGATAATTA